ATCTTACAAGTCTCTGGTATGACCTCTTGAAGAAAGATGATATCTGGAGCATACCTTTCAATTTAAAAAAAAAGATGGGAAGGTAAGGTATGTGTAAGTTCAGAGAACAAATATTTCACTGACATCCAGAAAAAGTTGCTCACAGATGGTGGCCCAGGAGAAGAAACTATTACAACTGTAAGAGTGGAATTCAATAAGTCAGTGCCAAGAACCACAGCACTACATTCCATCCTAAGCACGTGTAGTAAGCAAGGTCTTGTGGTTTATTCAGGTGTTGTAGTGTGACAGATGACGATGTTATCAGCTGCTGACACCCAATACAGGTGACTCACAATACAGTGTGCCACACACAGGTAGTCACAGACAGGCCATTTTTTTCAAGTTTACGGTCGATAACAATGACTGACTTGCTGTAATTTCCATTTGAGTGACTGTCAGTAGATACCTTGCGGAAATACTTGATAGATAAAGGCATTCCTTCAATTTTCTTGCCTCACAAAAGCCATCAATTAACACCAACACTCAAACAAACATGGGAACAATTCAAATTCAGTGAACAGACCCTTGTTGACTACTTCCCAACAATGGGCTACAAAAAGTCCTCTCCATGGCAACCTTTTGGTGGACACTGCATTGGGATTCATCAGTTTTATAATGTGTTCAATTAACTAACACAGAGCAAAACCAGACCTGGGGATGGCCATGTGTGCCGTGTCAAGCAAATGGGACTGTGGAGACAAGGTTAAACCTGAGTCAACTCATCACGGAAGATAACTGAATGCACCCTCAGCAAGGTTCTGATACTGTGATCATGAATTCTATCTGCAAGCCACAGGGTGACACACAACAGCTTTGATTTCAAGGCACTTCACCAACCTCTTAAGGATTTCACATACAGCACGGGTACGCTGTCCTATGCATTTCTCATCTAAACCATCAATGTTCCACGTGATAAGACGAACTCTGCTGGAAAGAAGGGAAGGTTCGCTGGTCTTTGATGAGGATGCTTGGGCTGTATGATCTGCCTGTTTTCTGTAACAAGAGTTTAAAGCTTAATTAATGAACTCTACACATTCTCCAAAGGGAAGAAAACAAAATTGGTACTCGAAACAGTAGAGCACATGTATTTTCCAAAGTGTCTATCATCCATAGCCACTTTATTGTTGTTGATAGAGTTAGTTTTCTGCACCATGTATGACAATACTGTATTGAGTAGTGACTTCAAGTCTTCAACATGGCAATACTAACCGGTTTACTGAAGCATATTCCTGAGATCCATCCCCCTCGGAGATTTGGTGGGTTTCATGTGATGGCTCCCCCTCCTCTGCAGGGTTGTGTGAAGTCTCTGCCCCCTGCGAATCACCATTATCATCAGCGGCTCCTGCTGGCCGATCACTGTCATAGAACATGTTGACAGCATCCTGTTTAAATACAGATGAAATGCTTCCTCCATGATCCAGCCACCAAGAAATAGTCATCAATCCAGTAAAGTAAAGACAGGCTTGGATGATCGGCCAACATGTTCGGAGGCTAGCATTTTAAAAGAAAATGTGAAGGCATGTATCTGAAACTTGATCCAAGGCCACCTCTAACATAAAAATAACCAAGTGAATCAAAAAATAAATAAATGAAATAAAATGAGAAAATATCAGGGCTTACTTGTAATACTCTTTGAGAGCTCCAGTTAGAGCTGAACAATTAATTAGCTATCAATATCGAGACTAACAAGAGTGCAAATGTTATGCCAAAACTATGGCGTCATTCCCAACTAAATATAGTTGGGTCGGTCCCAACTATAGTTGAGCCAGTCTCAACTATAGTTGGGCCTGTCCCAACTAGCATGCTATAGTTGGCCGGCCCAACGACAGCACAGTGGTCCCAGTGTGCATGTGCCCGGTATGTTCCAAAATCGTATTGTGTACAATGTCATGTCACCATGGTCACAGATGAATTGCCATATTTTAGATTAAATGTATATGTGTCAATAGAAATTGGTCAACAATAGTTGGGAATTGGGCCAGCCCAACTGCAGCACTACAGTTGGTTGGGACGGTCCCAACTATAGTTGGGACAGTGGAACAGACGCTATAGTTGGGGCGTAACACAATTATTGAATCAACGCTAACGTAGGCCTACTGTTAACAAATTAAAGGTTGACCTCGAGTTTCCAAGATGTTTTTTCCAAATAAGACACAGCTATAACAGGATCAGTCTCTGTAATATCTGCAAACTCCTGGCTCAATTGCTGATTTAAGGCAGTCACAGCTGAATTTCCATCATCTGACGCCATTTCTCCGAAGGATTTTTTTCCATCAGTGGATGAAAAATCCCGAAATACACGAAGGCATATGTCATTTGTTTGTGTACGACTACAAATGAAAGAGCTGAACCAAGTCATGTGATAAAATCAGGTGACCATTTATTTTCATAGTCAAAAATGGACGAGCCGGAAAACAAAATGGCCGCGCCCTAGGAACAAAATGTGAGTGTTTCCTGCATCCTGATTTTGAAAGATCGTTACGTTTGTGGCTGCATATAGGTCTTTTAATTTGTTTCTATCGATAATTTTGTCAAGTACAACATTTGGAACATGAGAGGAACAAAATCAAATACAAATGGCCCAAGGAAGCGGCGAAATGAAAGGTCAAACAACTCTCAAGAAATACCGACAACAGCGGCAACCAACACCATGACCACAATGGAGGAGGGTACCGACATGATCGACCAAAGCGACGTGTATGTAAATCGAACAGCATCAACAGGTTCTCGAAGTAGCAGAAGGAAGGAAATGAGGCAGAAAAAGGTATCATTTTTGAAAATTTTTTTTCGTGGTTTTATATATCATGTTGGCCTATATTGTAAGTAATCATTGGTCTCCATTATATCATAGAGGAAGGAACACTTCCTCCATGATTAAATAGACTTGATAGGACATCGCATCCGAAACTTGTCCCGCATATTTTCAGGAGGATAAATAACAAGCGTTGCGAATTTCATTGCGTGGCGCTATGTCTTCTACCATGTCTGCGTGTATGACGTGTGCACTGGACGTGAAGGACAAGCCGGTATTCATCTCTGCTTTTTCAACGATTTTAGCCTCTGCTGATTCCTGCACATTTTTCCACCTGCCGGCACACTCGAGGAACTTCATCCAATTCTTCTTGGAGAAAGGCAAAACCCTCAATTTGGACCATAAAAGTCTCATTGATTGGCCGTGTAAAACGATGACGTAATTTTTCATGTCGCGCTTTCCTGCACCAAAAACGTGAAAATTTGAAATTTTGGGTGGCGTTTTTTGCTAAAACTGGTTCGCGACGGAATTGTGGATTTTATTTTTGAGTTTCCTATCATCATTCTGAAGAGGTTTCCGTAAAAATTACATAGATCCATGAGGTGCGCCAAGAAATTGCAAGATAATCGGCCATGCTCC